ATTCTAGAGCTTCTATCAAAAAGCACCCACACCCACACCCACCCTCATCCTATTCTAGATCATCTTTACTGACTGACTATTTGGCGATCAACCGATATTGTTAAATAATATATGGAACTATGTAGTAATACAGGCGCAGCTCGCTAGCTTGTTTCTATCAAAAAGAATGCGTAGTCAAAGACTGCGGGATTACTTTTGAGTTATCCTGTACAAAGAAGAGTTTTATAAATATTAGAATACGCTGTCTTAAATAGTTTTGCACTGTTGATTCTTACTGATTTCTTTTCGGAAAGTTTAAAAGAAGCATTCTTCGCAGAAAATGAGTATATTGAGAACTACATATTCCAAGAACACTTTTGCCAATCAAATTGCAGCTTTTTATGAATGTGCATATTGCTGAGTTCAGCGCAACAGTTGAATCCTAAGTATTCCAGCAATCTTACTTAAACCACAACTTTAGGCAAACTTGGTATTTCATATCTTATGATAAGCAAAAAAATAGATTGAATAGTTTAGACGCTGACAATTAGAAACTAAAAGCACCAATAGTTGGGACAAAAGTTTTGCATTGATCTTCATTTCATTTTTGTGCAGCTTACGAATATCTCCTCACCGTGATCTTTTTTGTTTAGAGAGAGATCATACTCTGAACCATATGTTTTTTTCATGAATATTCGACTGATAGTGATGTGAAAACTAGGTAAATTTTTTGCAGAAAAGAAATGTAGAGTCGGTGAGATCTTTTAAGTTGTAGTTCAGATGTTGCTTTTGTATATCAGTTACCAAATCATTTTTAAAAAGATAAATTTTTTTTGCAGAACTCGAAAATACTTTTCAGTTAGAAAATATATCTGACATATGTCATGCGACGTATTTTCATTCGCTGATTCTGAATAACCTCTTAGTTTTGCGCTAATAGACTTTATGTCATTGAGGCTTTTACAAAAACGAGCAGGTCAATATTTGGAAAGATGTTTAATATAAGATATTTTTGTTTTGCATGAAAATGAGACATTGTTTACAAAAATAGAGATTTACTGGTAAAACAAAGTTTTGTGAGAACACAGCACTGGCTTTGGAAACGTTTACAAGTGATTCAGAACAAACCAAGTCAAGGCACATAAGGACTTCCTCAAGCAAACAACGGCATACTTCTTTTCTGAAAGATAATGTTTCCAGGACAAAAAAAAAGCTTCAGGCAAGTGTTTCTCCGTCGTAAAACATTTTCAAGGCATACTTTTGTTTCTTCAAAATGAATGAATCACCATTGACAGAACGTAATGAATGCGCATAAAATAGTGCTCGTTTTTCTTCTTTGTCGATTAAACGACAATAATGGAAGCGGATGTGGAAAGCAGCTGGCAAATGAGTAAGAGAAGGCGAGTATTGTCTCTCGCAACTTCATTGGAAATGCAAGGCATTCTTTTTTGAAAAAACTAATGAGAATAGAATCATTACTTTTGGATTGCAACACACTATAGTTTGATTCTTTCATTTGTTTTTTTTTGATGAAATTCACAATAAAATGCTAATTATAATCATCAATCTATGTCGAAGCTTTCTAATCATTTTGTGTCTTCTATATACAATCAGTTCTAACAATGTATCTTTTTCTTTATTTCAGATTTGTCCAATAGCATTTCATTGACGTGATGTTAGATTCATATCATTCGTGACTAAAAAATCTATTTCTATTGTCTGGTCCTTTCGGAAACATTTGATATTTCACTAACTTAGTGAAAAATAATGAATTATCTTCAACAAAGTGGCACTTTGATTTTGCTAATAATATTATTATTCGCTCATTGTTCGATCGATGCTTTCGATCCTGACAAAAACGATTATAATGCATATGGATTAAAAATAGCAATGAATGAACATCTACTTGTTCAAGCTAAAAACGGCAATGGCCTAACCACATTTTTCATTCAATTTGCACCATATAACTCTACAACAAAAACATTTTTACAATGTTCGATTCTTTATCCAGATAGTCTTCATCATTATGTTTATACTGTGGCTGTTGGTCAAAAACAGAAGAACAATCAAACTCATTTTTTCTTTGCTGGTGAACTCATCAATGGTCAAAGTGGAGCATTTGTTGGAATCGCTGAATATCAAGGTATGACACTTATAGGGAATAACAGTCTTGATGCTTCATTGTTATGTAATACAAGTTTTTCGTATTCTTTACAATATCTATTGCATTACGAGCATCAAGAATATTTTGTGCTTGGTGTTGAACCTCAAGGTTTTCTGAGTTATGGATTTTCGAATCAGTTTGTTTTTATGTTTGATTCTCGAAATACATCTATTCTACAATCATGGAATGCTAGTTTAACATGGCCCGATCATTCATTTATGCCTCATGGTATTGCAATGGCTGATCATTTTGGTGTCATAGCGGGATTTATTCAGAATACTGCTGATGCATTAGTCAAACATAGCCCGATAGTTTATTTGATCAATTTCAATTCATCGAATCATCATCCGATCATTATCGACCAGTATAAACCAATCGCTACTCCTGGTACATGGCAAGATTTATTGACAAATGCTGATGCAGATACCTATTTAGCAAAATATGACATGTCAGTTAGTATCAATGAGAATGGCGATGTATTAGTTGGAATGCAATTCATCAATCGAGTATTCCTATTTTCAGTTAACATGACTAAGCCAAATAAATTAATCTACGTTAGTAGACATACTAACGGTCGATCATTGGGAAATGGGAAAGGTGTAGCTTGGCTGGGAAATGGAGCTATAGCTGCTATATTGGTTAATACCTATTCGCTTAACTATCAATGGTCATCATCAAAACTCTATATGTATGATATTCGATCGTTTGGTTTCAACTCGAACAGTACTCCTCTTTCTGTTTTCCCAAATGGTCATTACATGTTACCTCAAAGATTTAGTTTCGTATTCTTAAATATTATCTCATCACCAACATCATTAGCATTACTAGATGATAATGGAAATATCTTGATTTTTCTTCCTGCTCCACCAGGATTTTATCCATCTATTCAACATACTGGGTCAATGCCAGTGATGACCAGACAATCACTATGTATGCCAGGTACATACAAGAATCAGACAGGCATTCATGATTGTATTCTTTGTCCATCGGGGACGAAAAATTCCGGTAACGCCACTACTCAATGTACTCGATGTTCATCGAAATCATTCTGTTCACTCGGTTCGGTTCATGATGTGCCTCAATCAGCATTAATTAGTATTGCTCAAGTAATAGCCTATCCAAGATCACCAGAAAGTATAATATTCGATGAAATTCTTATCCAAAACATGTTTCATATTGGATCAGGTCGTTGTCTTGCGATATCACCTTTATTCTGGACATTGATTGTAGCAAGTTTAGCTGTCATTGTACTGATCATTATGGCTATACTAGAACTGTTTATCAATAATCCTACTGCTACAAAAATACGAAGACTCGTCAAACATGTATTCAAGCATACTGATTTTATAGGTGAAGGAGAATTATGGGTTGGTGGTTTAGTATCATTAGCTGTTGTGGTTCTAGTAAGTTTTGCCTATGCATTTAGTAATGTATATTCAAAACAATATCCAATTGAAACGGCATCCAATTCGAATTTTGTTTGCGATAAAACAATCAGAAATGCTAAATTTCAAACAAGTTTACAATCATTAGGTATACCACATGCTCAAGCGGAACAGCATATGTTTGATTTATTACACGAACAAGAGCTTTATTTAAATATCGATTTTGTCAACACATTGATTAATTGTGATTCAATATCGATGCAAGCTCTATTCGGTACAACATGGGCGACTATTCGATGGTTAACATGTCAAAATATAAATTCGATTCTTTCATTATCGATTTCACTCCCTTATCAACATATTTCTGTGCAAATACTAATAGATGATGTTAAAACTATTGGTGCTCTTCGTATTGGTCTTTATGGACATGGAAATGAGAGTCAGCATTATAGATTAAAAGAATTGAATTTTTATCAATCATTTTCAAAAATTGAACAACTATTGGCACAAAACCTACCGATTGCTCTTGCTCTAACTAAAGTAATTAATGAAACACTACCTATGATTGGTGAAGAATCAGAATTCAGTGGTATTTTCATTCCAACATTTACAGTTGATTTCAATAGTTTATTTCTTTCCAATGACCAATATGTTCGTTCATCTATTGGTTCGACTACTCTCACAATAGAAATTAGTGAAACTCCTTACTATGTCAAAAACTTACAACAACCGATAGCAAAACAATCTGAGATTATATTTCACAATCTTCTTTTTACTATCGTTTGCTTAGAAATATTTGGTCTTGTATTCTTATTCTTCAAGCTTATCCTAAAACCATTGTACTATTATTGTTTTGGAACAAAATCCACTAAATACGAGGAAAGATATGTGAACACTGAAATAACGCATGCAAATTTGATAGAGTTGGATTCTTCGCCAAGAAATAGAACTGATGAATTCAATATGGTATATTCATTCTAATCATGTCTCTTTGTATGTCAATTTCGCATTTCTTATTATTTATTTTGAAAATAGATAGAAATTCAGAAATGGCATCCTATTTACTTTCATAATCATGAACAACCATGTTTCACAAATGTTAGCAGAAGTGTCAACTAAAGAATATTCCATATAGGAAGCTGTTTCGGCATTCTAATTTTTTTTTTATTGGCAATGTACTGTCTAGTATGAAGAAAACAATGCTTCGATGAGCTAACATACGATACTGATAGAAAAGTTCATGTCCATACAGTCTTCACAAGCCATCTATTGCGTCCTGAGAAAGACACTGCTGGTTCTATAAGGGGAGAGAGATTTGAGATCGTAGCTTTTGTTAAATAATGAACCATGTGTGTTTATCCTTATGTCAAATATCAAGATATCCTACTGTTACTTTAGATAAATAAATCACCACTTAATTGTGTTTTTTCTTCAAAACCACAATTGAACATTTCGACTGAATTAGTGTTTCTTTTTTGTAATGGTTGGATAGAGCTTGTCGAGTTACATTAGAAAAACTGTGTCTCAAATTTTAAAAATGGACTTTAAAAAAATTTTTACGAAGGTCACAATTTCATGTCTATTTCCCCATTATTTCAAAATAATCGTAACTTGGATGGATATTTTTCTAAAATTTTTTAGATCTCTTTTTAAAATTTGAAACACAGTTTTTCTAATACAACTCAACGAGCTCTATCCAACCATTACAAAAAAATAAACACTAATTCAGTTGAAATGTTCAATTGTGGGTATCTTACATATACTGTAAATACCTTAAAATTCGAATATCTCCCTGTAGGCGAGCCAAGAGCCGCTAATATTTTAACCTTGTTAGTTTGACGGTGAGCGCTTTCATTTGTCCCGAATATGTCTAGTCAATTCAGCTGACAACATAAACACCTCCATTGTAAGTACTGATTACTTTAGGCTTATCTGATATCGGATATTGTCATCAAGCCTGAATCTGTAAATAAGAGAGTCTATGGGCTTTTTTATTTCAAACTGAATTCTAAAATCAAAAAAACCGCACCAATTTCTTCCGAATCAAACTTTTCTCGTTTGATACTACGTAGTCCCACTAAAAACCCTTAGTCCCCCCTAGTCCTGCAAAGTCCCCCTTAGTCCCCCCCCACAAAAAGCTTAGTCCCAGCTTAGTCCCTTGTGCAGGGGACTAAAGCCTATAGTACACAAAGCCACAAGCACACCCTCACCCTCACTCGCGCGCCCACACCCGCACCATGGGTGTGGGTGTGTGTGTGGGACCCAGACCAACACCTACACCCTCAGTCACTCCCCCCCCCTCACTCCTAGACTCACGTTTCAGTTTGAAATCAAGTATTATTTTTATTTGATAAATTCAGACTGAAATTAAATAGCCCATAGTATGAAATAAGAAGACTGAGTTAGTGTCGTCGTATATACACTAGTGCGGAAACTATTGCTGTCTTATTCTACAAATGTTGTTACCAGCTAGAAGAAGGAATTTTCTGACATTTGCGTTACCAAAGTTTCTTTTGTTCATGTACATGTCAATATACTCTATAGCAAAACAGCATGAGGATATCGAACATGTTGAATTTAAACATCTTCAGTTTGTTTATAATCCAAGCAAATATGATAACTATAGGATTTTAGTGCTTGCAATTGAAACTATCTTGTCAACTACGTGTATCTTCATTACAATGCTTCTTCAGACGCTATTGAATACAGACAAATATGTGAAGTAGATCTAATTATCACATCAAATGATAAAATTTTATATAGGTTAATAGTATTGCTTCAAGTTAGTATTTTTTCTAATCGTTTGGCATACGGAGCATCTATTCTCATTTTCAGCACTCCTGAATATCAATCGAATTGTTTGTGTACAAACACGTTTAGTAGAGAAAAATTTGTATATATAAATGTTTACATTCATCTTGACTCAAATCTTTTTATCATTCAATGAAATGTCCCCAAAGAAGGATGTATAAGTGACAAAGTTGAAAATATGCTTTCTATCTCCTTTTTTTATCGTTCTATTTAGTAATTTATTCATGATTTTTATACGCTACATACGTTACCAAAGAACGAAGCAATTTAATTAAGAATTCAAATAACTGGTTAACCGTTGTGTTGATTTACGATCTGTATCTCTACCATTTCATTCTTTGAGAAAAGCAACAATGTGTTAACAATGGATAAAACTATTTGTCTCAGTAAAATCTTATTTTTATTTGTATTTTCAGGATGCACTGGAAGTTCAACAACCACTGAAACTTATGTCAATTAAGTTTTCTAATTGACAAAAAAAATGAATTTCGAATCAGAATTGAAGAGAACTGGATCTGATGTTTTCGAGTTATGATCACTGAATAAAACCGAAACTAGAGGAACTTTTTTCATTTATTTGCCCATAATTGGATCGTGCAAAGAAAGATGCTTAGTAAAATCTAACTTTCAATTTCTTTTCAAAATAGGTCAGTTTCGAGGAGAGATTCATACTATAACTATATTGACCCGTCAATACACATTTCATAAATTGTCCATGTTCCATCTAGTCTTACAAAACGAACGATATGAAACGAAAATAGTCGTATTACACATGGTTAAAATCCCTTCGAATTTTAACAATTATGTACTTTCAACTTTTTTATTAACTTTTACTTGATATGAAAAGATATATTTAAACTAGATCATGATGATAGTAAAGTTTCAAGAAAGTATTGCGTGTTTTTTTTCTATATTAAATTCTAAAGAAAACTTTACGCAACAAGATATTCATATAACAAGGTATAAGTCGTCGTGAATTTGAGAAAAATTTGGAACATTAAACCTGTGTTATATGCGAGGTTGAGGGTAGTTCAGAATGCGGATGAACATAAAATTGAATTCAAGATAATACTCTTGTCTACAATGATACCTCCAAAATAAAAATATTCCGTTGAAGGTGAAATTGTAAAAAACAGCTTTAAATGAAACGAAAACGTTGAACGTAATGATTTCCTGTATTACAAACAAAGAGATGAGTTTCATTAGCATCAAGTACAAGACCTGTCGAATTCGACAACAGAGATGCACTGGTACTCGATAATCCGCTCGGACTGCCGGCAATGGTGACGCCGTAATTGGCGTTCATTGCACAACGTTGAACTCGGTGATTGAGTGAATCGCTAGCGTAGATTGCACCATTCTTATACGATACAGCTACTGCTCGAGATCCGTTCAATTGATTCGACCTAACATCAGCTCCATTACCGCCGGCAACTGTGACATCTGCTGCTGCCGGTACACTTCCATTGCTCAACACATGCCACATTTGTATTCGATTATTCCCAGAGTCGGCTATATATAGATATTCGCCATTAGTATCGAAATTAATATGGCGCGATACATTTAACAATTCAGCACTTGAACCTGATGTACCGTTACCAGCAATGGCTGTCAGATTGGTTTCATTTGATGGCCATTGAACAATGTGAGCTTTGAGATATTCCGAAACATAAATGATATTCTGACTATCGACGCGAATGCCGATAATCATACTGAACCCAGTAGATGAGCTTCCAAAAACTGTGTAGTCTCTGGTTGCCTTAACTGGCCAAAGTTGAACTCGTTGGTTCACGTTATCAGCAATATATAAGTCTTGGTTCTTGCTATTGACATAGAGACCGGCACCTGGTTTTCCCAATTAGGGAGGGTCCTGATCCGATGGAGCCATCACTACCTACTGTTTTTTCTAATTTTCGAACCTAAAGAATAACGCTGAACGCGAGCATTGTTCGAGTCCATCACGTAAAAATCATTATCTGGTAATACATATACTGAAAGAGGAGTATCGAGTCCAATACTATCATTTCCAGCTGTATCATTTCCATAGCAAGCAACAGTCTCACTTTCTAGCACTGACAAAGCTAAAAAGCATCAAATTAAAAATATTAAATAGAATGTAACCAAAGTTACATCCACATTGAAAGAATTGCAAACAAGAGTAGTTAAGATCAATTCGGCATTCATTTGTCGAATTGTATGATGTACCCAATGATTTTTTGTCGTCGTCGACAAATTAAGTCTTAAAAAAATGTTTTTGATGGACACTGAAATGTGCCATTTAAATATGTAAGAAAAACATTATTGTTATCTTGAGAACCTGATTGCCCATAAACTGTAAACATATCCGAACTTAATTGAGTTGTGCCTACAAGATAATTCGGTGACGATGCTAAAGTACTTATTTGTCCAGTGGTTATATCACTTTCGAATAGTTGACATTGTAATGTCAATGAATCGAATTGAAACGTACGACAATGAGACAGTCTTGCACTGCAAGCTTTTGCGAAACCTTACTAGTGAGAGAGTACGTGATAGAAAAACTATGCACGAATACAAACAAAAAGACTAATCGTTAACCTATAATCGAACACAATTAATTTCATATTCATTAGATTGATGAGTAAAAAACATCTTTTATATACTCTGAAAACTAAAGGAAAATGTTTTACTTCATTATTGAATATGATAAAATGCAAAAAAACTGGTTATCTTGCCTGTATGCAATAATGGGGTATCAGAACTTTGCAGATACGCAAAACTGTCACTTCAATACATACTATAGCAGTGTAATTCAAGATTCAATATTCGAACTGGTGAGAATGAAGTGCATCTTCGCCAGTCAGCGACAAAGTTCAAGAAGTCCACTGAAGAAAATCATGTGGAATGTAACGAATAGGAAAACAACTGACTAGACGAAATAATCACTCTATTTATTCATTTGGTTTACTTTCAATCAAATCAGCTCAGCTTTCACTGGCATTCATATCCAGCAGACAAATATAATCACGAAGGATTCTGACTATTTCTCTAAATCTTCATCGATACTTCTTACATCAGAAGCCAAAGTATTCAGAAAAAGATTGATTGAGCTTGCGGCAACGATTTGAGTTTTAGCGCATATTCAGCTCATTTTTCAGCTGAACTAATTGTGCAGAACATGAGAAGTTTTATAGAGAAAATACTATCTTTCAAGATTCTAAACGATATCTATTCTCATATGTAAATCGTTGACCATATTGAAAAGGTAATATGGTTAAAATATGATACTTTACATGAAATCATGAGTATCTTATTTGGAAAAACTGCATAAGTCACGCCTAACAGTCACGATGAAAATGAGAGCTGATTGATGTATTATGGAAAGGAGAATAGAGCTATGAGCCCTCATAATACTAAACACGGCGTGTAGAAGATCTCTGTATTGTTTTAAAATAGTAGTTGACTACACGAAAATAAACATAGGACGCGTACAACACATTCTTTTTGTCGTAGAGATATTGCTATTAGAGTGCATAGAATAAAAATCATCGTTTTTTAGTTCAGAAACGTTGACGAGAAATTAAACATCCTTCTTTCCTTTGTTATTGAATGATTTCTCATTAGAAACTATGTAATTCATCATGAATGACTCTTTTTGGTTAATTATCGAGTCTTTTTTCACACATTATTTACGGTGAAGGGACATGTTGCTCTTCAAGAAGCAAATTAAAAACTATAATTTATATTCAAGCAATCATGATGTGTTTCAACGTTACTCTTCACAAGGGTCAAAATACCACCATTCGATTTTTCTATGGATGTCTTGCTTGAAATCAAAAATTCAGTGGAGTGATCATAAGTTGACTTCAACAGCGCACTCACCTGAATCCTTTTAGGCTTTCACTATTGATATTGAAGTCTGTCTGTGAGCGAAATATAAGATTTCAGTCTATTCTTTAGTCAAAACCATCTGATAAGTCTTTTGAACAAGGTTGAAACACGTCATGGTTGCTTGACACCTACACACATTCTACTCTTTATCCATCAGACTTGACATCCAAGTAAACAGTTGTATCACTCGAACTAAGAAGTTTGTAACTTAGAAGATTAAGAACAGCAACCCTCCATAGGAGAAAAAAAATGAAAACTGAGACATGAAATCAAGTGAGTCTCAATGATTAGATTGATCAGTCAATTTTATTCTTTTTGGTTCATTGCTTTATAGCAGGTACTCATGTTGATCAAACCTGTTGTATAAAGTTTCGAGGACAGTTAAAACGTGTGAAACTGTAAATCGAAGTCCTGCAGAAAGTACACTAAAGACACTCAGAAATGTCATTATTACGAAGACGATGTCCAAACGTCGTCCAAACGAATAAGTTCATTCTATAGATTTGCATGCATTGTAATATCGTTCATACGACATTTCAGTTGACCAAGAATCGAAAAAAAGTTCATTAACAATAGTTTGAATGATATCATTTTCGTGAAAATTAGAGTTGATGGACGAAAAACTTAAATGTGACATTTGAAATATTTGATCAGCTCAAAGATCAACAATAGTACCAAGAGAGGTACTGCACGAAAAAATGTAGTAAGACACATATTTGAGAAAAAACAGGAAAGTGAAGAGAGTAATATCGAATTGAAAGTCATGCAACCGTAGTAAATATCATTGAGAGTGAAAAATTGAGTGTCGTTCCAAGTAAAGAAAGCTGCAGGTTGCACACGTGAAGACGAAGTGGCACAAGAACAGGTTCCATCATTGTAGACGACTGGCGCGAAGGAGAGTGGAGCATCATTAGCATTGTCTCTGAACTTCGGCAACCAGTTTGTTCCCAAAAGAGACATCAATACATTCCCTTGCGTAACCGCATCGATTGGTTCCAGAATACTAGAAAATCGACGTGAAGTTGACGTTTGAAATATGTCATGAGACAATAATTGAGCAGATACAAATGTGCTCGATTGGAATCGTTGAATGTCATCGATTATAGTCAAGTTTGCCATAGAGCAGAATGTAGTGTGCATATTAAAAAACAAAAGGCCCCATCTTCGAAAATCATTCATGAACAGCTCCGGCGGCTCCCAACCAGAACTACCATTCAAATAAATCAACCATTGTTCACTAACTAAGTCACCTGAACAAACAGGATGTATCGAGGCGAAGAATGAAATTGCTATGAATGACAGAAATTTCTGAATATGGACATTGAAGAGTATCATGATAGTGGATTGGAAGTTGTTCATACATCGATTGAGAGGATGCCAGAATCCTTTGATGTTTCGAACATTCTATTAAGCCTGTATATAGGCAACGAGAATGCTAGTGGAGATGACGAGAATTACGAGATAGACGCGCGTAGATAATTGTTCGTGACGTTGAGTTTGAACAGTGCTTGAATGAGCTTCGAATAAATTAATTTGGCATATGTATTGCTTTAATTTTCTAACGCCAGACAATATTGCACCTACAACAAATAATTCCAACAGAACGGTTACTTTCCGAAAAGATGGAAAATGCCGATTCATACGACGAACATTGTGTTTCTTAGCTGGACTTCTACAAAGGCATCTCTTCTAAGAGATAAATTATATTTTTTGTGCGAAAATCATTGTATCTGACGATGAACTCTTTTGTGAAAATCAGGACTACGACACAAAAGGCATGTCTCAGATAAATGATCTTCTAGCTTTTACTCAGTAATATTAAAATAAGCCATTTTTTACAACCATGGTCTATATTCAAATATGTATTTGTGAAAGATTATTGCTGACTTTTTTGAGAAAGAAAGCTGTGATCTATGCAGTGACTACACTATGGAAGTGAGAAGACCTTGTCAAGCTGGGATTATTGAAATAGATATCAATAGTACAAAATTATGAAGTGTTGTTACTGACCGTTAGACTGAGAACACTGCACTGTTGATATAGTTTGTGCTACAATACGGTTTCCATTTCGTCGAACTATAATTAACACGAGTTGAACAACCAATGGGATAGTTAGACGCAAACCTTTGATCAATCCAGAATAGACAGATAAAACTATGAAGAAAACAATGGATTAATCAAAACGTCGTTCAATCGTATAAGAACATGATAGAGGAGCATAACTTTTGTAAAAGTTTTCATATGAAATAATCACTGTCTAATTTTCAAGGAGCACCTCGTTCACTATATCGTTAACTAGGATATTAGTGGAAAACCGACTCATAACATGGATATCAAGCGGTTCAATATTGATCAAGTCAGAGACAGTACTCAAAGCATAAGTTGAACGGAGAAGAGCCAAACTAGCTCGATCGCACCAACATTCCAGTGTTGATGGGAGCTCTGAATCCATGGGAAAGTATCGGATGAAAATACTTTTTATAAAGACCATATTCATATTTGCCGATGTATTATAAAAATATGCATAAGATGCACACAAAAAAACCTTGAGAAATACATAGACATACAGAGTTGTAACTGTCTGAAGTATTTGTAATGGGAATCGATAAATGGCCCTCTTTCATTTCAACATCACCACTTGAGTCTACATTGAAATTCACATTCGTGAGCGTTGCAGTTACGAATTGATTCAGATATATGCTACTGCGAACGTAGGACATGCTTCATGTAAACTCAGCATAGGTTGACTCGGTATAAGTATCGATAGAAACTTGTGCTTGTTCTAAAAAGAGAGTTTCGGGCACAACTACAGAGCTAACGAATTTGTTCACCGAAAAAATACGATACGTGTCATTAATAGTGGTTTGTGCGAGATAGCAAAATGAAACTAGTAATTGAAAGTAGAACGATCCTATATTGATCCATTCTGCAATTGAGATTTCGTTGGCATTTTCATCAGATAGCACTAAATGATTGTACCAAGTCGGAGAAATAATGTTGCTCGAACAAAGCTGATGAAAATTAGGAATAATTTGAACAAAGTTCGAATCATGAATAAAGGGCTGTGAACAAGCACAACGGAGAGTAGCCGAATGATTCTTACAAAGATGCTTATAATCTACTTGAGATGGATTTAATACAATAATAGTCTTGGTTTAAATAGAAACGAACATATAAAAGCTAACCGTAATTAAAGAACCACTAAGACACATGATGAAAACACGGGTTGTAACGCGTTGTTGATGCAGTATTCGCACATCACGAGATGCAATTTGGAATAAATTAAGATTAATCAATATGTTCTCAACCGTGAGGATGGATGTAACCAATCGAGCACGAAAGACTTGACTTATAACAGCAATCTTCAGTCGATTTTTTTAAGAATTTCATTTAAGAAACTCTTGAATGAAGCCTTTGAGTTCCTCAACTATTCAACAATAAGATCAGAGTGCTCACATGTTGATAGAAGAAGTTGGGTTAGTATAAATTTAGAACAAAAATACAAAAAAACCTCGTTGAGAAAATCGAGACAAAAACTGTAGACTTTCAGAATTTTCATGGTCCAGTGCCCAGCTTAATATCTTGACGGTATTTTTTGTATTTCTGAGCTACCGCACGTCAATATCTAGTCTCTTAGAAGCTTTTACAAACTATCCCACAGAGTTTTTTTTATCATCATTCAAGTTTTAAATGAAAGTTCTATCATTTTATCTCGTAACAAATATGCATTCGTCAAAGAAAAAAGAGATGCCTATTGTAAAGACTTTAAATTTCAGGAAAAAAATTTCCTTTAAACCATCGTTTGAAAAGAAGGCTGCTCAATTTTTGTTCAGGTGAAGTTTTGAATACAGGGCACGACCTTCGAGTGTAGAATGATGTGGAAATTCGACAGGGCA